TTTATAGTATCCAAAATGTCTTGCTACTGGAAAGTCATGACGAGCTTGAAGAACAAGTAATCGAGCTTCACCTTCTAGAACATATAGGTGTCTCTCAAAATATAGTAGATTGTTCTTGAATTCAAACTTGGAAGTATCATAAGACTTTAAAGGATTTTCCTTAATATCATGAATAAGAAGATCAGAAGACATACTTGACTAAACTTGTTTAATGAAAGTTGAATCAATAGTTAGTGTTGATTTCATTACTCAAAGATGAAGATGCTTTAGCTTTAAGAAAATTTTCTGTTATTGATTGAAAGCAGCATCTCTTTTCTTTGATGCAAGGTAAGATCGTCTAAAGAGAGCATCTGATAAACCTTATTATTTTTTCTGGTCGATAAGTGATCTTGAATTTGAATCTTAACAAAGACATACTCTAACGGGCTTGGCGACAATTCAAAACACTTGCTGATATAAAATATTCAAGGTTCTTGTAATTTGTATATATTGTGATTGGATTAGAAGTATCTTCTAGATAATGGTGCCATTCTTGAAACGAATCCATGATTACAAGAAGTTCTTTATCATGGATCTCATAATTGATCTTGACTGTTGAAATTTTTTTGGAATGAAAAGCTATTGGATGAAGTTTATCATCTGTTCCCATTTGTAACAATACGACATCAAAAGCAAAGTCTGATGCATCTGTTTCCATAGAAAATGGCTTAGAAAAATCGACATGATATAAGATTGGTGCAAAAATAAAGGCTGTCTTCAAAGCTTCAAATGCTACTTGTGCTTCTTGATTCGATTGAAGTTTGTCTTTACAAGTCAAATGTATAAGTGGAGCAGCAACTTGAGAGAAGTCTTTGATGAAGATCCGATAATAGTTGGCAAATCTCAAAAAGTATTGGACATCTCTTACCGTTTTTGGGATCTTCTAATCCATAATAGTTTGAACTTTCTTAGGATCCATCATAAGTCCATCATTTGAAATGATGTATTCTAAGAAGTTCACTTCAATAGTGTGAAATACATACTTTTCTATTTTGGCATAGAGTCTCATATTTCTTAGTTTTTGTAATATATGACGAACATGAAGATCATGTTCTTCTATGTTCTTAGAATAGATTAAGATGTTGTCTAGGTAACAGACAACAAAATGATCTAAAAACTCCCTAAAGACATCATTCATTAGATGTTGGAATGATGTTGGTGTATTTGTAAGTCCAAAAGGCATGACATTGTATTCGAAATGTCCATATCTTATTCGAAATGCAGATATCCATTCATCTCCTTTTTTGATGCGTACCAGATTGTAGGCTCCTCGTAGATCTATTTTTGTATAGATCTTAGCTTGATTCAACTGATCAAGGAATCCAAATATCAAAGATAGCGGATACCTGTTCTTGATGGTGATTTTATTGAGTCCTCGATAATCAATACACATCTACAATGATCCATCTTTTTTCTTTACAAATAAAATTGAAGCTCCTTTTGGAGATTTGAAATAGCATATGAAGTTCTTTGCCAAATTCTCTTCAATATACTCCTTGAATTTAGCCAACTCATTTTGAGATAAATTGTAGATTGGTCCAAATGGCAGTTGTGCTCCTTCTTGAAGGTCAATTGAGCAATCATAGGAACGATGTTTCTGGAAGGATATCCACATTTTTTTTCTCAAATACATCTTAAAAATCTTAATATTGGCTTAGAATGCTACTTAAAGTCTTTCCACCAGTAGAAACAGGTGTGGCATAAATGACACAAGGTGATGCTTCTTTTGCAGCATGCAAAAAAGCACTTGCACCTATAAATATAGGTTTAATTATACTACACTTATGACTTTCTACTTGATTAATTATACTATTAGTTATACTTTCAGAAAAGTTAAGACTACGAGAAGTCCAATCTATTTTAGGATTATATTTTTTAGCCATGATAAATCTAAAATGAATGGATTAGAAAGAGATCTAATGATATTAAATATTACAAAGCTACTATGACCATTAGTTGCTATTTCTATAGGAAGGGTTTCATGAGTAACATCTCTTGAAGACAACGGACGACCATTCATGACTTCTACATGAATAGGTTTTGTTTTCTTCACTAAAAATATGCTATGTCTTTTAGCAAATTCTTCATCTAAGTAACATATTGAGGCTCTTAAATCTAGCAAGGCAAAGGCTTTCTAATATTTAGGTCCTAGAATAACATTTATCGTAAAACATAGAGAAGGTTCTAAAGAGAGGATAAGACCTTTACTAGGTGTTGTACAAGGTTCTAACTGCATAGTCTCTATTGTAGCTGGACAAATTCATTTTTCGACATATTATCTTCTTTGATCGCCGTACTCTTCATTTTATGGTTGTGTAACTTCTTTGGACAATGTTGAGTAGTGTGCTTAGGTTCTCCATAATATAAGCACAATCCTTCCTGACAATGACGAGTCTTTTCTTGCTCATTTAGAGGTTTGAAGCGTATCGCATCAATTTGCATATCCTCTACTTCTAAATATATGTTTTGAAGAGATGTTGGTGTTGCCATTGAATTATAGTAATGTTGAGATCCACTTTATATAGTTCTCAGATCAAAATTCAAAAAAACGATTGTCGCAATTCACAGCAAAGTCAATTGCTTGACTCAATGTTTGAGGATCAAGTAAGTTGAGCATTGATTTTTTTACTTCATATTGTAATCTGTAGAGAAGTTGGCTAATAAGTGAAGCATTATCCCACTTGATATCAATTGCAAGTTGTTAAAATTGTGAAGCATACAATATTATTGATCGATTGCCTTATTGCAAAATATGGATCTTATTGATTGCAACACGAATTGCATCATGTTCTCCATACATAGATCAAAACTCTACCAAAAAAGCCTCTAAATTATCCAATATTGGATCTTGTTGTTCAAAAAAAAATGAAAACTATGATAATACTGAACATGAAAGAAACGTACAAATGAATCTAACTTACGATCTTGGAGTTGAATAGCTTTGGGATTAAAGTTCAATCACAAGTTGTACTTGATTGATAAATCCTCTACACTTTGATCTGGTGCCATCAAACTTCTCGAGTAGGGCAATTCTTGGTTTTCTAACATTGAAAGGGCATTCCACTATAGGAAAAGAGACATAATTTGGTGCAGATGTTGAAGCAGCTCCAATCATTTCTATAGCTTCACTTCCTGCCAATCTTGTTGCTCCTTGTGGTGGTAAATTGAGTTGATGCATCACAAGAATTAACTTCCTCAATTGCTCTTGCATTTGTGCCATTGCACTCTTTATTTCAACAAGTTCTGCCATGATAAGAATTAGAAAAGAAAAGATGTCTAATATCACTCAAGACAAATAGAAGAAAGGACTTGAGAACAAAGAAGATACTAAGGACAATATCAGTTTGAAAGAGGGTAATCCGTAACTTCTAATATGCTTATGTCTTATCAGAAAAATGGATAATCCACTCTTAATCAAGATCAGATAAAGCTCTGATATTATAAGTGTACTCTTGTCAATCTGTCAAAGACAAGAACATGATAAAGATAAATAAATAAATAAGACTTTTCTCGAAGAAAGATGACAAAATAGAAATAACTTGATATGTATATTAAGAAAGAAACTGAAATGACTATTTCCAAAAGCCAAGAAAACTAGAGACCTTTGAAATTAGACTGGAAGCAAGAAAAGAGTTGATAAGAGTAAAAAAGGCTTCACTCTTGTCTCTATATATACTATCTAACTAGGGGCTACGTGGCCATATTCTATAGGACCTCCAATATGTGTTGACTTTGTAGGACACATGCCTTGACTTACAAGGCAAGTTATTCTATGTGTGGGCCACATAGTTAGCTTAATCTTCAAACTAACAACATGTGTGGTACATGGCCAACTTGTTGACCACGTTTTTAATCTCAAAAAGTCAATTAAAGATACCTATAAAATCAAAGCAGCATCTATGAAGCTTCTAGGAAGCTTTTATAGCAAATATTATAGAATTAACTTACTTTTACCTATTTTTACTTCCTTCTACCTATTTACATATGTAATTACTCACTTACATGCATATGTCCGTGACATTATCTTATTTCTTTAAAAAATGACATATTATTTTAATTAAAAAAATAAAAAACAAATCACATAATATTCAAATAGTAACTTATGAAGAAATTTTGTTTGAAAAAATAACCTTAATAGTATATAATTTAACTTAATCAATAAAAGTTTAAAGTAAATTTCTTTGAAATATCATATTCTTTTTAAAGATTTTTTTTGTAATAATGTGAATCAAGTAGTAATTTTTAAAAAATTAAAAATTAAAAACCAATAATTATAAAAATATACATTTGAAACAAAAAATAATATTAAATAAATTAACTTTTACATATTTGTAGAAAATTTTGAAATTTTTATAAAACATACTAAATAATGTAATCTTTTTTTTATGTATTAAAATAATTTTGTTACAAATCTAAAAATTTGAAATATAATTTTGAGTTATTATATATATATATATATATATATATATATATATATATATATCTATATACATACATATATACATAGATTATTGTTGTCAATATAAAATATAAAGTACAATGTATATATATCTAAATAAATATATATATATATATATATATATATATATAATATTCTTTACATGTGTTTTGATAAAATTTTCATTTAGAAAAAATATATACTTTAACTTTTCAATTTTTTTTAGTTAATCTTTAATTTAATTTCTATATTATTTTAAAAAAGAAAATATTAATATTTATCTTTTATTTTTTTATTTTTTAGAATAAATATGTTGAGTGGGTGGCAAGTTGTGGTGGCAATAACAAAAACTATAATGACAATAATACCTTTTGTGTGTGTGTATAAATATATATATATATATATATATATATATATATCATTATTATAATTACTATACTTATTAACGATTGTAATATGTCTTTTTTGAATGCAAGTTGGAAGCTGAAATTTATAGGAAGAATAAACAAAATTTGTACAACTTCTAACTAAATGTAATATTTTATAAAATTTGATGGATGGATTTGTGGTATGCAGTTTTTTTTAAAGGTACCAATGACATACAAATGAGGGTCAAGATCCTATGACAACATATGAGAAACACGAACAATCATAAATGGTGGACATTTATATATAACATTCTTCCTCAGTTGGGCAGTGTTGGCATGCAAACTCGGAGTGTCCAATATCTTCTGCACCAGCTCGTCGAAGCACCGTTGCACGTTAACGCAAGTCTTAGCACTGGCTTCTAAGAACAAGCACCCATGCTGCCTGGCAAACGCAACCCCTTCTTTCTTCGCCACAACACGCTCACGCTCCTCTAAGTCTACCTTGTTTCCAACCAACACCTTAATGCAGTCCTTGTTGGTGGAGAACCACTCCACCTCCTTGAGCCACACATCGGAGAAGTCAGTGAATGTGGTTCGTCTCGACACATCGTAAACGAGAATAATCCCATGCGCGCCTCTGTAATACGAGCTCGTTAGTGTCCGGAACCTCTCCTGCCCTGCGGTGTCCCAGATGGTCAGCTTCAACCTCTTTGTCCCCAAGATCATCATCTCTACCTTAAAGTCCACCCCTATCGTCGGCGACAGATCATCAAATTTGTCGGCCGTGAACCGCAACAGCAGACTGCTCTTACCGACTCCGGAGTCCCCTATCAACAACACCTTGAACAGGTGGTCGAACTCGCCTCGAGATCCCGCCATCGCAGCCAAACTCCTGCATAAACTGCTTCAAAACCACACTGCTGCAATTCAAAACACCACCAAAGCTGCAACCTTTGGGGTGAAACTAACCCACAAACGGAAACTGGTGACAGAGCAGACTTGAAATGCCAAATGTTGAAGAATTAGTCGAAGGATGCAGTAAGTACAGTCTCTCTGCAGGAAAAGCTTCAATGCGTGTGAGCGAGACAGCATCAGAGTGCTGTGCATAGCAAGCTGGGTCTACCTAGCAGTTATAGTGCTGTCGGTGAACACTTCGAGGTGCGGTGTAGGTTCAAAATTGGAGGATCGTTTTGGGTTTATCTATTAAAGCGTGGAATTAAGTACACAACATGTTGAGTATTTCTCAGTACGTGAGTGCGTCTATGTATGTAAGGGTGAATGGAGTGAATGTGAGTGTATGTAACTTTGTTATATAATAAGTTAGATTTTATTCTGTTGTCTGGATTTGTAATTGAAGCCATCGATAAAGTATCACAAATACTAACAAATTTTGTAATAGAATATTGCGTGATTGTAAAACATAGACATTTTTTTTCTCGTAATAGTCACTGGAAGCTATGGATTTGATACGATGATTTTGAGTTTTCATGTAGTATGGAAATTTTTTAATAGATGGATTAATTCATTCATTTGTTTTAATTTTTGTTTTATTTGATTTAGGGAATTGCTAATGTTACATTTCTAATTGATATTGTTACTCCTTTGTGATTTCTATACAACTTAAATTGACTAAAAATTGTATTTCTATGGATAAAGCTTAAATTATGCAATTTTTGAGACAAATATTTTGTTATTTCAAAAAATAGCTTGCAACTTGCTTTTTCATAAAATATTCATTGTCTCCCTCTGAACCACTATCTTTTCTTAAAACAAAGAAAGAAAAAATTGTGCAAAAGAAAGAGGCATATTATTAGCTACTTGTTTGTAAAGAGATCATGGGATGTAGCAATATCAATTGGGGATTTAGAATTAACAATTATCTTAATTTTTTTAGATTTATGTTTGAATGTATGACTTAGAATTTAAGTTCTTATTGATATTGTGGTATTGATCTGGTTGAATCAATTGTAATTAAATAAATTAGTAGTTATTATTAAAAAATTTAAATGATATGTATTAAAATCAATTTAAATATTTTTAAAAATAAAATATTAATATAAATAATAAAGATAAATCCAACTTGCTTAACATTATGACTAGTGATTTTTTGAAATATACAAAAAAATCAACTTTATTGGTCTCACTTTTTAAAAAAGTATAAAATTTAAGTTTTAGAGTGTATAAATATTTTTAAGTATTTAATAATTTTTTATAAAAATAGATTATAATTCTATATTAAAAATTAATAAAATTAAATACCTTAATTATATAAAATATTAGAATTAAAAAAATATAAATATTACATTATTTTTTAGAGCTTTTCTAACCTTAGATATCTTAAACTATCAAATATTTATGATAACAGTAAGTTGAATTTTCTTAGATATTGTTGATATTATCAATATTAAATATTTAAATGATTATAGCATTTTTTAGAATATAAATACTAATCCTATTTTTTAATGTAAAATTCAAAATAGAAGTGTTGAAATTGAAATATTATCATTATTTTTCTTTATTTGTTGAATGATGATAAAAAGAAGAGAAAAAGTGAATAAAAGAATAGTGAATAAAAGAATAGTGGTTGTGTTGACTAGAGATCTTATTGAGTTCATGGCTGCAAGTAGTAAGACTTGACAAATTATTGAAAATACTTATCTTAAATGAGATTGTTAATGATTTGAGATCCCTATTTTGAGTAAATGCTCTTTGTCATCCTCACAACCTTTTGATAAAAACTTACTTTTTGGAATAATTTATTCCTTAAATTATCTTTATTTATAGAGTATTTAGGAAATTTGGTGGAGAGGTATAAGATACATCCTTAAAAATATTTTTGAATTTTGATAATCTTATAGTTTTTATTTCTTCTATTGTATTTTATAGTTAAATGTTTGAAAAATTTGGACTTTCAAAAGTATTGATTTTGTAATAATTAGCAAGTACCAAGGCTATATACATCAATTGGATATATAACTAAATGGTGGCTACAGAGATATTATTGAAAGAAATTACTACAAATTTTTGATCATCTAACAACTCAAATATAATATTTTTGCATTGTATGTGATCATTGATTGTGATTATTGATATGTGGTATTTATTACAAAATGGATTTTTGTTGAAGAACTTAGTCCAAAAATGTTGGAGCTTGGTATCCAAGCTCAATATATTTGGCTCATTAAAAAATATTGAAAATGCTCAAAATCAACAAGAATAAAAATTTTCAACTTTTTATTATTAAATATGCTACTTCTTAGTTTTTTTGTAACAATAATGTGTATACTTATATGTATTGAAGATTAGTATCTTACATTTTTTTTCAAACTAACACTTGAGCAATCTATTTTTTGATCAATCTATATTTGTTAGCTTTATGATGAGGTTTTTTTAGTCTTTTATAGAATATGCTTATACATTTTTATTTTTTAGAGCCCTTTTAATTTTTAATATTTAATTTTTGTTCTAATTTTGATCTTGTTGAATATAAAGCATTTTGATTAGGATATCAATGGCATGTATGTGTACTTCACAATTGCTAATGCTTGCTATAATTTTGAGTAAAGATGATAGAGTAGAGATAAATGCATATGCTCTATAGTGATGGTAGAGTGCTCTTTTAACATAGACTTTGGTAGAAATATTAGTATTCAAGTGCATATTTGAAACTTAAACTCTATTCATTTAAAAGCCTTAAAAGGCCTCAAATACTTGGAATAATTATCAAAATTTGAGTACATCTTTAGGTACATGTGCTTAAAAAAAAAAAAAAAAAAAAAAAATAGAATAAGTGGATGTATTTTTTTTATATAGATATGTTTATATAAAAAAAAGTAGGTGAGAATAAGTGTAAGAGTGTGTTTGTATTTTTTCCTTTGGATGTATATATCTATGTATATGTATATATAAGTGAATAAGAGTTTATATATTTTTTTCTTAGTATGCATATGTGTGTGATAGTCAAAAAGTGAGAGTGTCTATTTTTATTTTAGGTGTTGATGGAAACATTTATCTAAGCAATTTCAAAGGCTCTTATCTAATTGTGTAATATAATGTATATGTTTGATAATATTTTGAAATTATAAGAAGTAAATCATCCAATCACCTTATTAAGGAGATGAATCTCGAAGAAAGAAAATCCTTAATACACTCTTGTGTCATTGAAGTAAACTAGAAAGTCACTTAAAAGATAATTTAACATTAACTAGAATGGCTATTGCTAAAAATAAAAAGACTAAAAAGTCTTGAAACAAGACTAAGGATTAGAATAATGTTGACAAGAGTGAAGAAGGCTTCACTCTTGCCTCCATAGATATTCTTAACTAGGAGCTACATGGCAATGTCGTATAGGACCTCCAAAACGTGTTGACTTTGCTAGCCACATGTCTTAACCTGTAAGGCAAGTTATCTGTGTATGTACCACATGGTTAGTTTGTTTTACAAGCTTCTATATGGAGTTAACTTGTTCCACAAGCTACAAATACATGATTAACTTTTTGGCCAAGTTTCCAATCTACAAACATATATAAAGTCAAAACCACATCTATGAAGCTTCTAGGAAGCTTCTAGGAAGCTTTATGAAATTAATATATATTTACCTACTTCTACCTAATCATATAAATAATTATTGAAGTGAATATATATGTTCATAACATTACCTCTCTTCTAGAGATGAGTTCTATGAAGAGCAATCTTCATATGTTGAGAAAGTCTAAGATGCAAGGAATTATATTTGCCACATACTGCAATCTTTGCTCTCTGTGAAGATGGTTGATAGGCCTTCTCAACCATTGATAGTGTCCCTTACCAGGGCGAGAAGACCACCGTGTTATTTTATCATTGTTGAGGCCTTTGTAACTTCTTTCAAATAAAACATTTGGAACACCGTCTTGAGTTGTTCCTACCTCTAGTAAAATCACCAAACATTGAGAGTCTCTTCTAAGGTCGTGATACCAAACACATTATATCTTGCCATCTATTTAAGGAAGGACATGTCATTCTTGAAGATCTTCATCTCGATTTCATCGTCTTGAAGGTTGTGACAATTGGAATGTCTTATTTTGTAAGTCTGCAAATGAAAGCTCTTGAATTGAATTTGTTGGTTCTTGGTTTTCTATCTTTTTAGCATCATAAATATACTGAAGTTACAAAAAATAAAATAAAAGGTAGAATATTATCTTCTTTTGATCTTGTTTTTTTTTATAGCAAAGATTTGCTATTCTTCATCTTGGTTTTAATGGATATTATTGATGAAAGGCTTTAACTTTCTTTGTTGCATTTATAAGATTCTTTACTGGCTCCCATGTGTGTTTGCTAATATTATATTTATATCAATGAATAAGATATTCCAACCTATTTTGGTGCCGCCTTGAATCTAAGACTTTTTCCATCTTTGATTTTTGATTATTATCCACTTCTATAAGAAGAGGTGGCATTTGTCTTCATCCTACAATATTCATTGTCTTATATGGTTCAAGAAGGGACTTGTGAAATACACAGTGGATCTTCATAGACTCCGATAGATATAATCAATAAGCAACAAGATTGATTTATCCACAAATAGAAAAAAGTTTCAGCCTACAATAGTCTAATTTATTATAGTGACAAGTAATCTTCATATTGCAATGAAGTAATCATATCATATCATTTATATTAAATTGTGGTTATTCCGTACAATAAGCATCCACGTTGGACTTCTGTTGTTCTTGAACTTCCTTTAATTATATCTTCATTATTGCATATAGCTCTATCAAACGATTTTCTAAATCTCTTGCTGTAGGATTATTAACTTTTGAAAAGTCAAAAGTATCAAGACATGGATAATAACCATAATGGGCAAAAAAAGGTATTTGTTGAATAGAAAAATGTATCAAATTATTATATGTAAATTCTACCAATGGCAAAAGAATTCTCTAATCATCTTGATGATAGTTGATGGTACACCTCAAATACTGTTCCATGACTTGATTCACCCATTCCGTTTGCCCATCAGTTTGAGAATGAAAAGCCAAAAAAAACTTTGTATCCACCTTTAGAATCTTAAATAGGATTCTTTAGAATCTTGATATAAATTGAGTCCTC